CCTCTGTGCAAAAGTAAACATGTACAGAGACACCGGAACCGCGTGCATCGTCCGGACCGCTGCCCCCGGGCACGCACACGCATGCACGTGCACGTGTCCACATGGCGCGGCCATGCTCACGCGGTCGCGGGCGCACTGGTATCCAGGCGTGGCCGTGCGCACGCGCGTGCAAATGCAGACAGCTACTAGCGTCTACTCGCGCTTCGCGGGAGTCACACACAAACAGAGCTCGCGCTCGTTCCCGCCCCCGCGCTCTGCGCCCGGTGCCGAGTGGAGTCGGGAGCCCTTAACTTTCCTACCCCGGAACCCCGCGCAGCGCCGAGGGCAGCCCCGGGACGGCGTCGGCCGGCGTCTGGCGAAGGGGTCCCGCGTCCCTTTTGTGTCTCACCCGGAAGGCCCTGCCGGGGGAGTGGGGGAGAGAGTGGGTGCTGGCTTCTCTATTCGAGGTGGCGTCGGAACTGGGGGGTGGTGGCGTACGTCGGTCGGGCGCTCCAGAGCTGGCACCCGGGGACCGACATTGCCATCTAGCGGTGCGCACGGCGCCAGGCAAAACGCACCAGACAAGCAGCTGTGGTCAGGCTGCCGGCAAAACCAGACGTGCAGGAAGATGCCAGGGGAGCTGCCCAAGGCAGGCTCAGAATGGGACTAAGCCACTGGCCTCCTGTTTGTCCTGGCGGAGTCTGGCCGCGGGGACAAGAAATGTCTTGTGGAAAGCGGGGGAGCCGGCAGGAACGGGTTGGGTGTCCCAGTGGTGTGGTTCCGAAGCGGGGAGACCAGAGGCAGGAGCTCAACTCTGAGCAGTGGCATCTTGAAGTGAAGTGAGGGGTCCTGGGTTCTGATCTCGTCCCCGGCCCTCCTTACAAAGTGGGTGACTTGGGACAAGTTCATGAACACTCTCCCCGTCTGTGAGAGAGCTGTTCCCACTGGGAGCTGAGGACGCCAAAGCACCTACCTTTTCAGGCTGTGGAAGGTGCAGGGAGAGTCCTGACTCATGGTTAACACTCAATAAACAAGAGTTCTCGTGTTTTCATAGCCGGCATCTCTAGCCATTGCCCTGAGCCTGCTGGCCTGTGTGTGGGCCCTGGGAGGCTAAGGTGAGAATTTTCCTGGGGCTGGCTGACAGCTCGCCCCTGCCCACCCTGCACCTGCTTGTGGAAGCCTGTCGGAGGGCAGGCACCTCTCTCTGCTGGGGCGACAGTCTTCCCAGCTCAGAGGGCAGCACTTGAACTTCCATTTCGGAGGCTCAGGGGGTGGTCAGAGCTGCAGAGAGGGCCGTATCTGGTCTCTGCCCTTGGCTCCTTGCGTGACCTTGGGGTGTCACCACCCCTTCTCAGCCACTCCTCCTGTGAACCAAGGATTCAGGAGCAGGAGGCCTGAAACAGGGTGACTGGGTCTTGTGTCTGTGCAGATGGAGCAGGGGGCCTGGCCTGGCCAGTGTGGCAGCGGCCGCCCTGGCACTGCCTCCAGTGTCCCGTGCATCTGCTCGCTGGGGAGCAAGTGCAGGTCTGATCCTGAGAGCTGCCCCAGGGTTGTCTCGGGACAGCAGCTGAGAAAGAGGGTGCAGGAGGCGGTGGCGGCTTCCCCCAGGCAGCCCGGCTGGACCCTGCTGCCTGCCAGCGGCCCAGGCTGCCGGGGTGGCGCCCCTGCCTCCACAGCCGGCCACGCCGCCCTCTCTTCCTCTCTGTCACACACAGACGCACAGAGCTCCGCGGCCGACCCTGCGCGTGGCTGCGATGGGGCCGTGTGCGTATGTGCGACGGCGTGTGTGTTGGCGGGTGTGAAGGAGGCTGGGCTGAGCGGCGGCCCTGGCGCGGCTGCTGGGCGTGGGCCTTCCTCACATGGATGGAAGAGGAAGAGGGGGAGGAGAACTGAAGAGGAGCCTGGGTGGAAGGGAGGGAGGCAGGGAGGCAGGGCAGGCTCGGGGTGGGGGAGGGGCGCTGTGGGCCTGGAGAAGAGCCCCTCCCCTCCCCGCCAGGAGCTGGCCGCAGGCTCCGCAGTAGCCCCTCTGAGACGTGGGTCCTTCCTCAGTGCCTGGGCACTTCCGGCTTCGGACTCCTCCGCCCCCAGCCGCACCTGCACGGCGCCCAGGGCCCTGGGACAGGGATGCCCCGGCGGCAGGTGCCTCTCTGGGTTCCTTCTGCACAGCACCCCAGGCCACACCCTGCCCCCCCCCACCTTGCGCGCCTGTAGCTCTTCAGCCTCTGCCAGAAGTCCCCCCGCCACGCACACCCCCGCCAGCCTCGTGACATCCAGAAGCTACCGAACCTTGGTCAGGTTCCTGAACCTCTTTACGTCTCAGCTTCCTTACCTGTAAATAGAGGGAAAAAAAAAAAAAAAAAAGGCAAACACCGGCCTCTCCGGGCTGGCGGCTGCAGTGAGTGGATACTCTAAGAGGCGGAGGAAGCGCCAGCCCCTTAGTATGTCGGCTGCTAATGGCTCCGCTTGTGTTTTTGCCATCGTCTCTACTGTCAGGACGGGAGATGTTTGTAGTTGAGAAATGACCCGGTGGGTGAATGCAAGCCCCTCTCTTGCCATTGCCCTTGACTGGGCCACTCTCTCGCAGCTCCTCATGTGGCTGCCCCAAGACCACATCCCGGAGGAGACCGGCCCTGATGGCCCTGTCACATCCTATGCGACTGGCTGACTCCACCATCAGCCTGCCTTATTTTCTTGCTGGTTCTTTGTGGGGGCTCCTGTGTTCGGATGCCTCCCTCCCCCCCCACACTAGGTTGGTGAGACGGGGACCCAGTTGACTAACGGGTCACCTCTGGGACCCCAGTGCTCGGCATGTCATAGGGCCTCCAAGGACTCTCAGGGCGTGAACAGCTGAGGGGTGATGGGAACAGTGCTCTTGCGTCCTCCCTGCCCCCCGACTCCAGTTACCCTCTGCAGGACCCCTGCAGCAGTTTACCCCCTTCTCTCTCCTTCCTCCCCCCAGCCACTGTCCGCCCACCACTGCTGACCAAAATGGCGAACTTCACCCCAGTCAACGGCAGCTCCAGCAACCAGTCTGTGCGCCTGGTCACATCAGCCCACAACCGCTACGAGACAGTGGAGATGGTGTTCATCGCCACAGTGACGGGCTCGCTGAGCCTGGTGACCGTGGTGGGCAACGTCCTGGTGATGCTGTCCATCAAGGTCAACAGGCAGCTGCAGACAGTCAACAACTACTTCCTGTTCAGCCTGGCCTGCGCCGATCTCATCATAGGCGCCTTCTCCATGAACCTCTACACCGTGTACATCATCAAGGGCTACTGGCCGCTGGGCGCCGTGGTCTGCGACCTGTGGCTGGCCCTGGACTACGTGGTGAGCAACGCCTCTGTCATGAACCTTCTCATCATCAGCTTTGACCGCTACTTCTGCGTCACCAAGCCCCTCACCTACCCTGCCCGGCGAACCACCAAGATGGCGGGCCTCATGATTGCTGCTGCCTGGGTCCTGTCCTTTGTGCTCTGGGCGCCTGCTATCTTGTTCTGGCAGTTTGTGGTGGGCAAGAGGACGGTACCAGACAACCAGTGCTTCATCCAGTTCCTGTCCAACCCGGCCGTGACCTTCGGCACGGCCATTGCTGCCTTCTACCTGCCCGTGGTCATCATGACGGTGCTCTACATTCACATCTCCCTGGCCAGCCGCAGCCGGGTCCACAAGCACCGGCCTGAAGGCCAGAAGGAGAAGAAGGCCAAGACCTTGGCCTTTCTCAAGAGCCCCCTGATGAAGCAGAGTGTCAAGAAACCCCCACCGGGAGAAGCCGCCCGGGAGGAACTGCGCAACGGGAAGCTGGAGGAGGCCCCGCCCCCAGCCCTGCCGCCGCCCCCGCGCCCCATGGCCGACAAGGACACTTCCAACGAATCCAGCTCGGGCAGTGCCACTCAGAACACCAAGGAGCGGCCAGCCACAGAGCTGTCCACCGCAGAGGCCACCACGCCTGCCATGTCCGCCCCGCCCCTGCAACCAAGGACCCTCAACCCGGCCTCCAAGTGGTCCAAGATCCAGATTGTGACGAAGCAGACAGGCAATGAGTGTGTGACAGCCATCGAGATTGTGCCTGCCACGCCAGCTGGCATGCGTCCGGCGGCCAACGTGGCCCGCAAGTTTGCCAGCATCGCTCGCAACCAAGTGCGTAAAAAGCGGCAGATGGCGGCCCGGGAGCGCAAGGTGACTCGGACCATCTTTGCCATTCTGCTGGCCTTTATCCTCACCTGGACTCCCTACAACGTCATGGTTCTGGTGAACACCTTCTGCCAGAGCTGCATCCCCGACACAGTGTGGTCCATCGGCTACTGGCTCTGTTACGTCAACAGCACCATCAACCCCGCCTGCTATGCGCTCTGCAACGCCACCTTTAAAAAGACCTTCCGGCACCTTCTGCTGTGCCAGTATCGGAACATCGGCACTGCCAGGTAGGCAGGCAGCGGTGCCCTAGGAGGGGCTGGTGTCGCGTGTGTGTGCTGGGGGACCACACGGCTCACCTGCTGTGGGCGAGACAGCTGGAGGCACCGCTCTGTGGTCACGGTTGCTGAAGAGGCCTGAGGGCTCTTGAGACCGCGTGAGGCTCAGGAAGCAGATCTGGCTGCATCCGGAGGCCGGATCTCTCGGCCCAGGCTGAGGAGGCTCAGCCCCAGGAGTGTCTGAACTGGGACTCCCCTGGCCCATCTCCACCGCCCAGGCTTGGGAGGTGCACCTGCCCCATGGTGTCCGGCTGGGCGGCAGCAGTCTAGAGACTAGACTAGGGAAGAGCCGAGGTGCTGGGCTCCAGGGGGAGCGGAAGGGTGGGGTCCCCTGTTCTGCTGTCATCGGTGCTTTCCGCCCCCTTGCACCCTGCATGTCGGCTCAGCCCCCTCCCCACATCTCACCCCAGGGGCAGGAATCTCCCCCGGCGGCAGCTCCTCAGCCAGGCGCTGGATGGATGGTAGGCACAAAGCGGCCAGCCACCCCCCCCTCCCGCCCCCAGTCCTGCCCGTCACATCCAGCTGGGGCATCAGGGAGGCCAGGATTCACACTCAGGAACCAGTCTCAGCCTCCTGTAGCTCCAGGCTGAGCTGAGTGGCCCACCTCTCCCGGGGATTGTCCCCAACCACAGGAGTCCGGGTGCAGTGGCGGTGGCTGTGGCCAGGGTTTCCACCTGCCCCCGTTGAGCCTCGCTCTGGCTTCTGCAGGGGTATGGGGGAGGCCTGTGGACCCCCGGGCTTCAGTGAGTATGCAACCCCCACTTCTGCCATCTCCAGCTGAGAGCTGCAGGTCCCCCCCCCCCCCGGCCCCGCCCCAGCCTGGGAGAGCTGAGGCTAGCCAGGCTTAGAGGGCTGGGCTCGGTGGGGGGAGCGCTTCCATTTTTGCTTTTTC